TTGGCTCAGCTGGGCTTGTTCTTTTATAAAATATAGAATATGAACAAAAAAATAGGTTCGTTTTAAAATCGAGTTGAGCCTGAGATTGAGCTGAGTCGCCCATGAGCCTAACCAAGCTCGTATTTTTACCCTAAATTTTCTATTTTCACTCATGAACTAAGATGGACACAATTGTAATTCTTTTTAATTTTTTCTAAAAAAATTACAGCCAAACATAGATCAGTCAAAATTCGATACAACACGATGAACTGACACAAATTGACACAGTTTTAAGTGGGATTAGGTGAGGCTTTAACGGGTTCCGGTTGTAAACGGGTTGACCCATCAAACTCGTTTATTAAACAAGTCGTATTTGGGTTGAGACTTGTCAATCCGTTTATCTATTTGAATAAAATTTAATATGATAATTATTATTATTCAAAAAAAATAAATATAAGTCAAAAAAACCAAACCATTTCCTAATCCTAACCCTAACCCTAACCCTATCTCCTCTTCTTCTTCTTCTTCTTTGGTTTATCCTCTGCCTCCACCAACGCCTCTAGGTTCCACAACTCGCGTCTCAAGCCAATTGAAGGAAGCCAAAGGTTTGGCACTTAACTTCTTTTGCTTCGTCTCTCTCTCCTCTCCCCATCTCTCTGATAATCTAATTCGATGCACTCCTCTATCTCACATTGATGCATTTAGCACATCACACCCACTCTCAGATGCGCTCAGCACGCCACACCCACTCTCTCTGATGCACTCACCACGCCACACCATTTCTCTCTTTCTCTCCAATGCACTTAGATACACACACACATGCACCCCCCCCCCCACACACACACACCAAATCGAGTTTAATTTCATCAAATTTATGCTTTATTTGACTTGCACAAATTGGTTTATGCTTTATCAGTTTGTTTTGTTAGTCCGATTTGCACTAACTTGTTCTATTAGATTCGTTTGTGTTGATCTAATTTCCACCAACTGATTTATCATTCTTTGATCATGATGGTGATTGTGCATATGCATTCTAGTGAAATTTCCATGATATTTTATTGATTCTCTTCTACATAACATGCATTCTAGTGAAATATCCAAATTATTATTGCTTCTTTTCTCTACTTAACTTCATAAATTGTATGACAAATTGTATACATTGTGGATATGCATTCTAGTGAAATTTCCATGATATGTTATTGATTCTCTTCTCCATGACATGCATTCTAGTGAAATATCCAAATTATTACATGTTTCTGTTCTCTACTTAACTTCCTAAATTTTATGTATTGTGGATATGTTTCATATTTTTTTAGCTAACTTATTATGTTTGTGGGCATGCTTCATATATTTTTTTAGCTAAATTATTAAGTTTATAATTTTTTTTAGGGAGAATTATACTGAGACTCTTGGAAGTTTACACTTAATCACTCAGATCCCCTAACATTTAAAATTTTACACACAGACTCTCTAAGGTTTGTATGCGCGTAACATTTAAACCACTGCTGTCAATATCAATTAGTAAATTACACCCAGACTCCCTGAAGTTTATGGACGTGTAATATTTAGACTCCTAAAATTTAAAATATTATACTTAGATAAAAAAATATTCTAATCAAAGATAGAATATCAAATATTTTAAATTTTACAACTAAAATTCATGTTCTATTATGAATGACTTAGACCCCTTGTTTATTTTTTAGTTTTATTTCAATCGATAGTATAATTGTATAGTAATTACAATTTTTTAAGAAAAAATTGAATTTTTATTTTTGATTTTATTTCAATAAATGATACAATAAAACATGAATTTTGATTGTAAATTAATAATATTTGATATGTTATCTTTTATTGGAGTATTTTTGGTCTAAGTATAACATTTTAAACTTAAGGTGTTTAAGTATTATACGCCTACAAACATTAGGGGGTTTAGGTGTAATTTACTAACAGAAATACTAACGGACATTGACGGTAGGAGTCTAAGTATTATTCGCGTTCAAACCTTAGGGGGTTTGTGTAATATTTTCAATGTTAAGGAGTTTGAGTGATTAAGTGACAAACTTCAAGGGGTCTTGGTGTAATTCTTATTTTTTTTCTTTTAATTATATGACAGGTCCAACCAGCTAATCTAAATTTATCCTTCTATCAGGCCGATGTTCGATCCGGTTCTGATCATGATTGTCAAAATCTCGATCCAGATCTTAGGATCTTACAATACTATGATCCGAAATAGACAAATCGATCCAAATCTTTTATAGAATCCCAAATTGATAGTAAATGAATCATGGCCCAAATCTTATAGGATCGTAGAATTCCTATTCGAATTGTGATTTTACTGATCCTATTGTTAAGATGACTCAATTATTGTTTTAATACTTAAAGACTCAATATAAATGTGATTCTCTCATATAATTTTCGGTCGATTATGGAATTCTAGCGGATGAGAAAGGTTGCATAAAGTTCATTTTACTATCAAAAACTTTATTCATTTGTTTGTCTCTCATTAAAAATAAAAAACAACTATTAGGTTTAATCTCAAAAGTGATAATTGTCAAATAGTCTTCTATTTTCACTCACTTCTATTTTTTTTGTTTGATGTTGAATTGTTAAAAATTGTTTATTCAACAGTTTCTCAACTTTCCAGTCTCTCATTTATATATGTCTCTCTAAAAATTAAGATCAAATACTTCAATTTTTCTACTCGCAACATCTCATGAGATTCATAGTCTGCTTTTGATTTTTAACTATTTTCAATGCTTAGATTGTAGCTTCCCAAATTCTAATCATATTTCTAAGTTTTTTGATTTAAATAACACTTTGATCTACATATATGCTAGCCTTGCATATATTTTGTTCCTTTTCTTTTTAATTTGTAGGAACTTTAATCTATGTGAATTTATGCTTTATCAGTTTGACTGTGATTGTGACTGATTTTGATTGTGTCTCTCTAATTTATGCTTTATCAGTTGTGGTTGTGGTTGTGATTGTGAACATTTTTGATATTTTTTGTTTTTATTTGACTCTTATGTATGAAGTATGGTATTNAGTAGTGTTTGAATTTGCTTATTTAAAACACTTTAAATAAGTTAAAAGTAATTTTATCACTTAATTAAGTTAATAAGTAAAAATTAAAAAAAAAGGCTTTTACTTTCACAAAAACACTTTTTCTACCCGTGCCCAATCATCTCTGTCGAAGAAGTCTCCCAGCTTCTATCGGTGTTCTTCCATCTCTCCGACTATCATCGACAAGGTAAATTTTTACTTATCATTGCTCAAAACGCCGTCGTTCAGGCTGGATCCAAGCTTCTCGATGTCCATGAAAGTGGAGAAGAGATTGTCCTCCGATCTCATCTCTTCGAAACTTTGCGAAGGCGCATCGAAGGGGTTCGACACCAGATCTAGGTCCTCCAGTAGCCTGAANAATCCCAAATTGATAGGAAATGAATCGTGGCCCAAATCTTATAGGATCGTAGAATTCCGATTCGAATTGTGATTTTACTGATCCTATTGTTAAGATGACTCAATTATTGTTTTAATACTTAAAGACTCAATATAAATGTGATTCTCTCATATAATTTTCGATCGATTATGGAATTCTAGCGGATGAGAAAGGTTGCATAAAGTTCATTTTACTATCAAAAACTTTATTCATTTGTTTGTCTCTCATTAAAAATAAAAAACAACTGTTAGGTTTAATCTCAAAAGTGATAATTGTCAAATAGTCTTCTATTTTCACTCACTTCTATTTTTTTTGTTTGATGTTGAATTGTTAAAAATTGTTTATTCAACAGTTTCTCAACTTTCCAGTCTCTCATTTATATATGTCTCTCTAAAAATTAAGATCAAATACTTCAATTTTTCTACTCGCAACATCTCATGAGATTCATAGTCTGCTTTTGATTTTTAACTATTTTCAATGCTTAGATTGTAGCTTCCCAAATTCTAATCATATTTCTAAGTTTTTTGATTTAAATAACACTTTGATCTACATATATGCTAGCCTTGCATATATTTTGTTCCTCGTCTTTTTAATTTGTAGGAACTTTGATCTATGTGAATTTATGCTTTATCAGTTTGACTGTGATTGTGACTGATTTTGATTGTGTCTCTCTAATTTATGCTTTATCAGTTGTGGTTGTGGTTGTGATTGTGAACATTTTTGATATTTTTTGTTTTTATTTGACTCTTATGTATGAAGTATGGTATTTATTATAAATATCAAATTTTTTAGTTTAATTATTATGTGTTATTATTATCATATTCTTATCATCTGACTCGTCTGACCAGTTGACCACATAAAGTATGTTGTTGAATGCCTCGGAAGGATCATATAATTCTTTTACATGCTAGTTGTATGACACCTTATTTCCTTCATGTAGACTATATCATAAACTGTAGCAGTTTTTGATTGTTTATGTGAAGGACTCATTATATGAGTTCTTATAGGGAATTTTCTTCAGTTAAACACATCCCTATGAAGGAATTCATTATTTTTATGTTTCCATATTGAGCTTACACAGTCACACATTTTCCATCTTTTTCAACTTTTGCTGTAGGTTTTTCTGAAGGAGGAAGTTAAACATGCTACAAAATGTTCTACACCAAATTATACAATCACCAGCCAGATTAGGCCTACCCAATCGTAATTCGTTGTCTCTTCAAAACCAAGCCCCTCCCAAATTCTCCTCCTAAGCTTCTCAATCTCATCACTTCCATCACCAAGGGAATGTATCAAGTACAACAACCACTTCCTCAACCCTTCTTCGTCTCCTACCACCTCTATCTAGAGCACAATCTCTTCTCCTCCAAATGGCCTCCCTTGCCTCCANTGTGAGTTGAGTGAGTGAGATTTGTCTATGGTTGTCTTTGTTTGTCTTCCATATCGTCTAGAGGAGAGAGAGTGAACGGCGGTTTGACTCGTGATATAACAGAGAGAGAATTAAGAATATTTATTTTTTACCCCCTCAAAGATTGGATTTTATACATTTTACCTATTTTTGTTAACCTCAATACANCTCCAAATGGCCTCCCTTGCCTCCAGTCTCTTTGAAGTCTCACCAAATCGACCCCATTGGCTTAGTGCCTTCTGTGGCTCCCTTCCTTCCTTTCTATTTTCCCAAACCTAATCCTTGACGCCAACTCCACCAGACTCCTTGCCTTCCTCCACTAAAGAAATCCTTTCTCTTTTCACAACTCTTCAAACTCGACTCTTTGAAAGCTGTTGCAAAACTTCAGGAAATTCTAGATCTGCAAGATGCTAAGCAGAAACTCACCCGTGACATTCGGTCCAAAGATTCTGCAATGCTTGCCTTTGCCAACAAACTTAAAGAAGTCGAGCGGGTTCTTGACATCCTTGTAGACGATTACTCTGATTATTGCCATGCCAAATGTTCAAAGTTTGAGGATGATACAGACAACTCTTGTACCATAACTGTTTCAACTCAGCTAAATTTATCTGATATTTTGTCATATTCCCATAGGATAAGCTACACAACTTTTGCGCCACCAGAATTTGGTGCTGGTCAGGCTCCTCTCCGTGGGGCACTCCCACCTGCTCCACAGGAAGAGCAAATGCGTGCATCTCAATTATACAGCTTTGCTGATCTAGACGTTGGTTTACCCAAGTCCATCGAAAGTAAGGAGAAAACAATTGAGCCACTCATCGAAATAGCAGCTATGCAACCGACAGAATCCAATCCACTTGCTAATCTGCCTGCACTTCAGGCCCTGATTCCTCCAAATATTGTGGTACCATCAGGATGGAAACCTGGGATGCCTGTGGAGTTGCCTAGTGATATACCTATTCTTCCTCCGCCTGGATGGAAGCCTGGTGATCCAGTTGCATTGCCCCCGTTGGATTTTCTTCCTGTTCCTTATAGGATCGAAGAACAACAACCACGATCCATCCCTGCTTAACGATTGGCGAAGGCACCTGAGCTAACACAGGTTCGGCATGTGCAGCTCGATATTGATGACGACAGTAGTGATTTTAACAGTGATGAGGCGAGTTTTGATAGTGAAGATTGAATGTCAGTTAAGTTTCTTCTTTCTGTTTAGTATAATTTTTTCCTTTAGATAGGAATGCTAGAGGCTTGCAAGGGTTGTGCCTATCCTATACTGTGGAAAACCAAATTTGTAACTGATACCAGTGTAGCAATCAATCAATTTTACCTCAAAAAACTTTCTTTTTTCAATGTTTGGCTTTCTTTGTAACGTGGACAAACTAGTTGTTGGAGTAAACATGGATTATCGCTGAAATGTCAATCTATATGCGACCAAATGGATACGGAATTAGATTGGGATGAGGCTGGTATATGCACAGGTCCCATATTAACTTGGCATCGAGATTAATTACTGGGTGATGCAGTTTAAACTAGTAACAACTACATGGAGTCCTATGCATTATAATTGGGATTTCCTTGAGGACGATTTTGACTTTGTGACCTAGTTAGGCTTTTTCCAACATTGAACTGCAGATTTCTCCAACCCAAAGTAAAACGAAAGCTCAAACCAAATATTTTTGACTAAATGGAGCGGATCATTGAGTCGATATAGCTCAGTTTTGATCAAGAAAGCTAACACTGGAAATGAATTTAAGCCTCTTGAACTTAAGTTTCATTTTGAACTTTTTTTTATGGACAAATGATACACATTTTGTTCCACGGTAGCCAATTTTGCTCCTTATCCCAATATTAAGTCAACGAGTATACTGAACAACATCAACCAAACAAGAAACTGAATCAGTGAAGATGAAAAATATGTGCATGTTTGTATATTCCGACTATCTTATTGATTTTGTTGTTAGACACGAAACAACGTGTTATTTTTGCTGAAGAAAAATAATTGACAGAAGTCCTTTGCTGAGGACGAGTCTCAGATGGTGAGAGAGTGATGGATGCCGAGGGTTAGGATAGGGTCCACTGAGTTTGTCCTTAAGGTATGTTCATAGGATTTGAACTCCTTAAAAAAAAAGGTAATAATTTTTTTTTTTGGTGAAATACTATTTGTTTTTAATTTAGTAATTTTATTTGTTGACCAAAATATAGTTATTGAATTGATAATAAATCTCAATTAATAATAAAGTCCATTGTTAATCTAATTATAGAGAATAATAAAATCCACAAATACCGTATATATAACATTGCTCTTTTGTTTTCCCCTTTGTTGGGATGCTTGCTTTTTGATACACGGGGATAATACAAAATAAATACAATCAACCAAGTCTAAATAACCACAAAGGCAAACTTCCTTCTTTTTTATCGGACTCTAAGCATAAAAATGCTATATTTTCAAACACATAAAGTGATATATTTTTAAACAAATTAAGAGAGTGTTTGACGTGATTTAAATAAAAGTGTTTTTGTGACTTTTACTTACCATAAGCACTTTAACAAAAATAAAGTAGTGTTTGGATTTGCTTATTTAAAACACTTTAAATAAGTTAAAAGTAATTTTATTATTTAATTAAGTTAATAAGTAAAAGTTAAAAAAAAAGGCTTTTACTTTCACAAAAACACTTTTTCTACCCGTGCCCAATCATCTCTGTCGAAGAAGTCTCCCAGCTTCTATCGGTGTTCTTCCATCTCTCCGACTATCATCGACAAGGTAAATTTTTACTTATCATTGCTCAAAACGCCGTCGTTCAGGCTGGATCCAAGCTTCTCGATGTCCATGAAAGTGGAGAAGAGATTGTCCTCCGATCCCATCTCTTCGAAACTTTGCGAAGGCGCATCGAAGGGGTTCGACACCAGATCTAGGTCCTCCAGTAGCCTGGAGTTCACCTCCGAGTGAGCTCGCCGGTTGTGACTCGGCTTGAACAACGCCGTTGGATTTGTTTGCTATGAGCTCGGATTCGATGGATCTTCCATTTCAGTCTTCAGTGTGTGAGTTGAGTGAGTGAGATTTGTCTATGGTTGTCTTTGTTTGTCTTCCATATCGCCTAGAGGAGAGAGAGTGAACGGCGGTTTGACTCGTGATATAATAGAGAGAGAATTAAGAATATTTATTTTTTACCCTCTCAAAGATTGGATTTTATACATTTTACCTATTTTTGTTAACCTCAATACATTACTTTAAGTACTTTAAATTTTGAATATCCAAACAATACTTATTTAATAAAAGTATTTTTAAACATTTATTAAAAAAGTATTTTTTAAATTTCATAAATCATTCTAAACGCACCCTTAGGATCGATAATGAGTGATGTTTTGTCGAATTCATATCATGTTAAAAATTTGTTCAATTTTTATCCTGCTCATTTTATAAATGTATATGCCCAAATCCATGTGGTGTTAGGTTAATGCCATATATATGAAATGTTTGCCAATTTTATTTCAGATTGATCAATTTATTTAGTGGGTTAATCATCTAAATTCGATAAGCCTAAAATCAAATTCACTAATTTCGTACTAATTTTTTGCTAGTATCATGTATTGTATCTAAAATTGTGATGTCTAATTAAGATATTTAATAATGACCAAAAAAAATTAAGATATTTAAATAAAAAAAATATTATTTAGACATAATCTATATAATAAAACAGGAGTGTGTTCGAATTTTATCTCGGTCATATTTTCCCCCTCAAAACTATCACCGATAACTTATCTCATCCATAANTTAAATAAAAAAAATATTATTTAGACATAATCTATATAATAAAACAGGAGTGTGTTTGAATTTTATCTCGGTCATATTTTCTCTTAAATTTTATCTCGGTCATATTTTTCCCCTCAAAACTATCACCGATAACTTATCTCATCCATAATCCTTTTATCAGACTCAAACGTCAAATCACATCACTCATTTCTATCACATATTTAATCATTTATATATTTATTCCCTAAAAATATCACACTATTCATTTCTATCATATATTTAATAATTTAATATTTAATTAATTTGTAGTTAATATATTTTAAAAAAATTTCATATAGTGAAATCAATTTTTTGGACGCTTGAATTTTATATTTTATTGTGTCTTCAGGCATGAGTTATGATTATTTATTAATATAATGTATTACAATTATTAAATTGGCATTAGATCTCAATTAATGTTAAGGTTCACCGTCAATCCAACTTCTCTGATGTATTAGATTAACAAATTTATTTCAAATAGGATTACTTTTTAAATAATTTGAGTGTATTTTATTGAATTGTTGTTTTTGTTAAAAGCCCATAGGCCCAAAACAGTATGATGGACTATTACGTCACAAGCCCACTTAAAACCCTCACATCTGCTTTTCGACTGCGTCTCCATTATACAGTGGCACTTTTGTAATAAACTCTAATTTGCACTTGTATATATACCTCACTACTCTCTTAACCCTACCTCTTATTCACTGCCATCAAAAACCCTAGCCCCTCGGCTTCTCTCTCATTTCCTTCGCCCCAACCCTAAGAAATGGCCGCCGCCGCCGCCGTCCGCCCTCTCGTCACTGTGCACGGACTGGAGTCCGATATGTCGGTCGACTCCACCACCACCAACCCCTCGTCGCTTCCCTTACCCGACGTCATGAAAGCCTCGATCCGACCGGACATCGTAAACTTCGTTCACGCCAACATCTCCAGGAATGCTCGTCAGCCCTACGCGGTGTCGAAGAAGGCAGGCCATCAAACCTCCGCCGAGTCGTGGGGTACTGGCCGCGCTGTTTCTCGTATCCCCCGTGTTCCTGGTGGTGGGACCCACCGCGCGGGCCAGGGTGCCTTCGGTAACATGTGCCGTGGTGGTCGCATGTTTGCTCCGACCAAGATCTGGCGCCGTTGGCACCGCAAGGTCAACGTCAATCAGAAGCGCTACGCAGTTGCCTCTGCCATTGCCGCCACCGCTGTTCCATCTCTAGTGATGGCTCGAGGTCACCGAATTGAAAATGTTCCAGAAATCCCTCTGGTTGTTTCCGATTCGATTGAGGGAATTGAAAAAACCTCGAATGCCATCAAGGCTTTGAAGGAGATCGGTGCTTATCCTGATGCTGAAAAGGCTAAGGATTCCGTTGGAATTCGTCCTGGGAAAGGAAAAATGAGAAATCGTCGATATATCTCTCGAAAAGGACCATTGATCGTGTATGGTACTGAAGGTTCTAAGCTGGTTAAAGCTTTTCGTAACATTACTGGTGTTGAGATCGCCAATGTAGAGCGTCTGAATCTTCTTAAGCTTGCTCCGGGAGGTCATTTGGGGAGGTTTATCATTTGGACGAAGTCAGCGTTTGAAAAATTGGATGAAATTTATGGATCGTTTGAGAAGCCATCACTGAAGAAGAAGGGATACATCTTGCCAAGGGCAAAGATGGTGAATGCGGATCTGGCTAGGATTATTAACTCCGACGAGGTGCAATCGATTGTGAGGCCGATTAAAAAGGAAGTGAAGAGGGCTCCCATGAAAAAGAACCCCTTGAAAAATCTGAACACTCTTCTGAAGCTGAACCCATACGCCAAGACAGCAAGGAGGATGGCTCTGTTGGCTGAGGCTCAGCGTGTCAAGGCTAAGAAGGAAAAGCTCGATAAGAAGAGGAACAAAATCACTAAGGTAAATCTTCTGTGTTCTTTTACTTAATTTAGTTGTATTTATTGGCTGTCAATTGGATTACTTGTAGCGTTGTGCTATTATTTTCTATAATTAAATTGCTTGGATTACTTTATGTATCTGATGGTCATGCATGCATCTTATTTTTTTTAGTGCATTGTCCATATGCCCATGTATGTGGGTGAGATTCTGATTCTGCAGCTGCCTTGTCTAATTGCTCATATGATCCGGCTTTGTTTTTTGATAGAATTTAGTTGATTTGGTGCTATAGGACAAATGCTTCTTGTGGCATAATATACAGGACGTGGATTAGAGCGTGTAAATGATGCATAGATAAGTTGTTCTGTATTGGCTTTGTTTGTTTGTTAAGGATAGTGTCTTTTGTGTCTCCATGTATTCCCAAGTGAACAATTCCCAGTAACCATGATTGTCATGTACAGGCATGTATGTGAAAAACTGCAATGTACTTGGATACATACTAATAAATATTTTGGTATTATTTTCTTGCACAAAATATTGGTTGTTTGATCTTTATTTAGAAGGAGTTGAAATATATCCAAAATCAAGATATTTATGTACGTATCCCGATTTTGTTATGTAGGCATGTGTTTATGCATTAGCTAGCAAGCAAGCAAGCACATGTTATCTTGTATTTGAAAGATTGTCATCATGGACGGAATATCTCTGTGGAGATCATAGTTTTTTGCATGTAAAAGTTTACATAGTGTTTTGGATTTATTGAAAGGATTATTTACATATATGTGCCTGCAAACATATTTAGATATTACTGTGATAACCACACATTTCATGCCATTCTGCCTGAGAGACGTGTACTGCTTATTCCTTTTAAGCTGTTTGTGTCTGATGCACGTTGAAGCCAAATTGAATTTGTTTAAGTGCCTTGTTTCTTGAAGCTTTAGTTTCGTGCTAGAGTTTGTTGTTAAGTTATCACAAGCAGTTGCATTATGTTGGTCTGAGAATTAGATAGTGAGGTGGCGAGAATGTTGGTAAGAACAAATCTTCTTGTTGTGTTGAACATACTGTGTTAGTTGGAAATCAACATTCATATAATACTATGTTAGTTGTAAATCAGCATTTAAGTTCCATTCATCATCCTGATTCAATTCTCACTCAGTTTTGGTATTGTATTCCATCAACGTGTCTAATAGGTTAAAATATAGAGTAGTATGTCCACAAGATACATTGTTTGCATTGATGAATATGAAAATTTTTACCAATGGAAGAAGCATTTCAACGTGTCTTAAATAGTGTTCTGATCTTTTTATAGAATAAAGCCGCTATGGTATTATGTTTTATCCATGCTAATGGTCGAATTGCTCAACTTATTAACTATGCATGTGATTTTGGCTTTATTTTCCTAGTTTAGGTTTGGTGTATCTTAGAAGAAACTTAGTTAAGCCGACTTTATTATCTCATAAACTTTATTGGTGCCCTTCTGTTGTGAGGCAGCTTATGTTGTTGCTTATGTGCCAGGTTTGTTTAACTTCTTTATGTTCTTGTTTCTAAATGTTTTGTGGTTCTCTCAGATGTTTAGTGCTATGACTACATTCGACAATTGACTATGTGGAAAATTAAGATTTTTGCTGTTCTAACTTTGTGAAAATTTCATTAAGAAGCTTCAAGATTGAAACATATTTTACTTAAATTGTTGCATTTTCATTTGGTCATGGTATTTTGGAGTTACATACGATTTGCGACAATCTGGCAGGCACAGTCATGATAGCTACCCATTTTTCTTTGGTCAGCTGCTGCTGGAATAATTATGTTATAATTTATACAGATGGAAATTCTTGTTGATTGGCTTTTTTTTTGTTTCTTTTTTTCCCCTTGCATATCCGGCAGGAGGAGTCAACTGCAATCAAGGCTGCGGGCAAGTCATGGTACCAGACAATGATCTCAGACAGTGATTATACGGAGTTTGAGAACTTCTCAAAGTGGCTTGGTGTTTCCCAGTGATGTCATACCTGCGTTTGAAACTCTATTAGGACCTATTTTGTCTAATTTGGTTTGTCATTTTGCTGAAATGAAGGAGTTCTATTTTCTTTTTTGGTTGCGGGGGATGACAGGAATAAGTCATGTTGCTTTAACTTCGAGTTTTTCCACCCCCATGTTTTGCTGTCAATTTCTATTGCTAGTTTGAGGATTTTGCGTAAAAACAGAATTTGATATTGGGCCTCTTAAAGTCGAGTCATTCAAAATTTGATTTTAGTGTCCTTATGGTTACGATGCACCTGGTTCTAAATTTTGATTTGGTTTGATGTAGGGCTCCTAAACTTTGCACCCTTTTTGTAGCAGGTCATTCTCTTCTTTGAGAATGTAGTGGTTCCATTAGCTGTTATATTCTTCTGTTTTCTGATTACCCGTTGATGGCAATGCCTGGTTTATTATGAGGGGGAATTGTTGGTGTTATTGTGCTTGGTCTGCTGCTGGGCGGGATAACGTTAATGATTAGATCACATCACATTGGCATGCTATCGGAGTAGGGTTAATCGATACTTTTTGGTTCTTTCTCAGATTGGTTAATCAGTAAGAATTTTGACTGGCATGCACTGGTGTGCTGCTGAAGTCGAATTTCATCATCATGGGCCCTGTTATTTGCGCTGTCACATGTATCTTGGTTCGGAAGGATAGACAACGAGGACCAAAATTTGCCAATTTCAGTGCACTAGTCTTTATTGCTTGTAGTATTCTTTGTTTCTTACAAATAAACTATCCTTCATTGTTTTCACCTTCACACTTAGGTATTCAAGAGTCTGAACACCAAGTTAATGACCAATTCAAATCACATTTTAAATGCAAACTAATTTCATCAAATAGCTTGTTTTCTTTATATATATTGTNTTTGCGCTGTCACATGTATCTTGGTTCGGAAGGATAGACAACGAGGACCAAAATTTACCAATTTCAGTGCACTAGTCTTTATTGCTTGTAGTATTCTTTGTTTCTTACAAATAAACTATCCTTCATTGTTTTCACCTTCACAATTAGGTATTCAAGAGTCTGAACACCAAGTTAATGACCAATTCAAATCACATTTTAAATGCAAACTAATTTAATCAAATAACTTGTTTTCATTATATATATTATNACACTTAGGTATTCAAGAGTCTGAACACCAAGTTAATGACCAATTCAAATCACATTTTAAATGCAAACTAATTTCATCAAATAGCTTGTTTTCTTTATATATATTGTATATGTAATTTGGATTGGACAGCTATTGGCATTATTTTTGTATATATAAATTTAAATTCTTTAGATTAAAATATCACAACAGATTCGGATTGGAATAATGTCAAAAATTGGATTTGAATTGAAGTTTTGGCAAGCCTGCTGTAGGGTAGGGCACAAATGTGCTTGCTTTTATCAAAATGTGACATATAACATCTCTCTGAAAGGTTTAAACAAACCAACTATCATTGATCTGTGTGGTGTGAAATGAACAATGAACCATAGATTATAGGCATATCCAGTCGATGGGACATGGCTGAGACAATAAATATACATTTCTTGTTGATTTCATGCAAGATTGATGCTCGGTACCATGCATATGTAACTATGAGAGAACTGCTCTCGCATCAACAAAATTTACTTTGTACAAAGTTATTTATCAAAGTATGGTTTTTTTAAATCAAATTTATGAAAATATAACACTTTTAAACTTATTTACTAAATTACGATACTTTCACTGATAAAGAGAATCTAACAATTATGTTTTCAACTAAGGAGTTATTACCTCCGCTTTCCTTACTTTCCTAGGAGCCACAATTGACGGTAATAAAACAAAATTGTGGATGGAGATTTTGCTTTTAATTAAAAGCGATATTTGTACAAGTCATTTTCAAGATAGAAATGTGTCATGATCAGAATGGAAAACAGGGTTACTGAATCTGTTTTATCATAAAGCGGTTTCAACAAATTTGCTTTTCAATAAAACGAAATCCGTTTTNTCAACTAAGGAGTTATTACCTCCGCTTTCCTTACTTTCCTAGGAGCCACAATTGACAGTAATAAAACTAAATTGTGGATGGAGATTTTGCTTTTAATTAAAAGCGATATTTGTACAAGTCATTTTCAAGATAGAAATGTGTCATGATCAGCATGGAAAACGGGGTTACTGAATCTGTTTTATCATAAAGCGGTTTCAACAAATTTGCTTTTCAATAAAACGAAATCCGTTTTCTATCAAAAAATTTTAGATAAAATATTTTCCAACTTTTTACTATTATTGTTTTTTTCAAACCTTTTCTTTTCAAGCTTATGCAACTAATATAATCAAAAACATAAAGGATGGCAAAAAAGTGAGTGGTAATTTAATTTAATTTTTGTTTTTGCAACTGTTTAAATGTAGAGTGCGTCTAAATTATTTGATATAATTTTTAACAATCAGTTTTTCTGCATATGTCAATAACATAATATTTAATTTATTAATATGAAATAGAAATACAAATGATCATGTTCATACAACATGCCACAAAAATATAACAGCATATGTTTCTAATGACTACCATGTTCTCAACAACATAATGGTTTGCCACATACGCATATACTAGAATGGAAATTTTTTTCATAATCATCATCACTTGAATCGACAAACTCAGAAAGTTCATGATCAGAAGCCAGTAATGGATCAGATAGTATTGCATTAATAGCCTCGACATGATCTAAATGTTATATCTCGGCCTTTTTGATAAATTGGAATTTACCTAGACATTGTTGCATCTAATCAATTTCACATTGCAGTGTTGATATGAGATCATCATAGTTGTTTGTGCACCATTCCACGTACAATTCAGTTGAACGTGCTTGTGGTACTCATAATCCATGCCAACGATANTATATCTCGGCCTTTTTGATAAATTGGAATTTACCTAGACATTGTTGCATCTAATCAATTTCACATTGAAGTGTTGATATGAGATCATCATAGTTGTTTGTGCACCATTCTACGTACAATTCAGTTGAACGTGCTTGTGGTACTCATAATCCATGCCAACGATAGTATACTTTTAGCTCACAGTACTTAAAACAAGATTTCAGCCACCTTGGTCCCCTTAGGTGGTAATAAAACTCTAGAGGTGGGACAATGTTTGGAGGTCCAATAATGACATGACCGACTTCTGTGAAAGGGTTAATAATATTGATTGACTCAATGTGAAAGTTACGCAAGTTTTCATACCACGTTATACCACTGAGATCTGTATAGTTACCAGGTTTGGATAACTGAATGGCNATTTCAGCCACCTTGGTCCCCTTAGGTGGTAATAAAACTCTAGAGGTGGGACAATGGTTGGAGGTCCAATAATGACATGACCGACTTCTGTGAAAGGGTTAATAATATTGATTGACTCAATGTGAAAGTTACACAAGTTTTCATACCACGTTATACCACTGAGATCTGTATAGTTACCAGGTTTGGATAACTGAATGGCATGGAACTTTGATGCTGGTGTGCACCAAGATGTTGGCGTTGGTTGCTCGAGGATGAACTATCATTTGTTTGGCTTGAAAACTGGTTGCTCGAGGAAGAACCATCGTTTGTTCGACCTAAAGACCCAAATGATGATTTTCTAGGCATTTTACTATAGGGTTTGCATTGAAAAAATACNGTGCACCAAGATGTTGGCGTTGGTTGCTCGAGGATGAACTATCATTTGTTTGGCTTGAAAACTAGTTGCTCGAGGAAGAACCATCGTTTGTTCGACCTAAAGACCCAAATGATGATTTTCTGGGCATTTTACTATAGGGTTTGCATTGAAAAAATGCGTATAAATACACAAAATTAATGAATGGATAGTCACTTATTGTACTAAAAACACTTCATGAGTAAACACTAATATTGACCAAACATTGATGACTAAACACTGAAATTGAGAATTGTAGTCAATTTAGTAGTCAGTACTGGCACAATAGGATATGCATAAAGACTCACAAGTGTAGTTAGTTGAATAGGTTGTACCCACATAGTAGGATATAATTAAAGGTTGACAAGGTCAAGATATGACATTGATAACCCTGAAATAGTGTATATGACACAAGCAAAATAAAGATATGACTAATNGGTTGACAAGGTCAAGATATGACATTGATAACCCTGAAATAGTGTATATGACACAAACAAAATAAAGATATGACTAATTGATTCGTGCGTAAAGTTAACAAAGTTTACTATGCCTTTTTGGACTAATTGTGCTTTGATGGAGTTTAAGTAGTGACATTTCAGGTCCTAAAGTGAATCAAGGCTCAAGAACAACAAAAATCACTCTTGAATGTAACACCAGCACAAAAGGGAGCAAAAATGCAGAAGGTTAGAACAAAGCAAGGACGTTCGAACGTCATCTGAAACCCTGCCAAGACTAGCTGCTGAGACATGGCGACAAAGGGAAATGCTGAGGTACTTGAGTAGCACGTTCGAACGCCACTCCACGTTCGAATGTCCTCTGGAATCCTTAAAAGACTACATCACTGGAACCTGACATGTTGCAGTAAGAGAGAAGNCCAAGACTAGCTGCTGAGACATGGCGACAAAGGGAAATGCTGAGGTACTTGAGTACCACGTTCGAACACCACTCCACGTTCGAATGTCCTTTGGAATCCTTAAAAGACTACATCACTGGAACCTGACATGTTGCAGTAAGAGAGAAGAACCAGAAGCACTTGAGTACAACGTTCGAACGTCACTCCATGTTCGAACGTTGTCTTGAGTGATTGAGTGTATAGTCAATGATGTCAAGACGTGTGGAAGTGACTAAGTCAGAGATCAAGTCAGTGACCACAGGCCACTTGAGTGGAAGAAAGATGACGTTCGAACTCCTTCAAAGCAAAGGCAAACTTGACGTTCGAACGCCAGATAACGTTCGAAAGTCCCCCTGCAGACTGCCTGCAAAATAGTTGATTCCCATGGGTGGTAAATACTATTCACTCATTTGTCACCTATCTCCTATCTCCTACCTCCCCCTCCCCTTTCTTGCCTATAAATACTCCTTTGTTGGGAGCTTAAAAGGCATTCTTCCTCTTGTAGAGTAAATGGGGGAGCAATCTTTATTCTTGTAAAGTAAGAGTGTTTAGTAATCTAGTTCTTGAATATTTTATGTTTATGCTTTCATTTTTCATTTATATCAACCATGTTGGAGGCTTAAACCCTTTTATAGTTGAAGTCTTTCATTTACTTATGCTAAGTCTTTACATTCATATTGTGACAACCATGATGGAGGCTTAGACTCCCCTTGTAGTTGTACTTGCTTTTACTTACAAA